TGTGATGAACATGACTGATGCTCTATTCATTGCTCTATTCCTTATTCTCTTGTTTTAATATTCCATATGCTGTACATATTCGCCAATTCGAATACATACGTGCTGGTTGCCACTCTTCGTTGAATTCTGGATTTCTAGTTTGTCGGGTTGTACCGATATATGTACGAAACTTAATTACCACAGGTAGTCTCGATAATCACGTCGGTCTAAATTTGCTGTACCTTGTGCAGTAGTTACATGGATCTTGCTATGTTTGCGTGCCCACTGCAACTGGATGTGTGTAGATTACTATGACAGCAGTTTGCTGACGAGTCACATTTGGGCCATATATTCCCAGTGTTGTGTGCAACTTGAGGTACCATGCAACTCTTTGCAATTAACATAAAACAATTGCAGATTTACAACGTAGACGTAACCGCGCTGAATTTATTTTGGTCAGCGCATCAGTGTTTAATATCGAAAACGTCTCAACTGCCACAAGGCTGGCCAGTTGGTCAGTTTTCCTATCAAGTTTTCTTCTGTAGCTCCTTTTATCCATTTTTTGACTGGAATACCTCGACACCTGGTGCTATTCAACATGATTGCTCTCGAAAAAAGTACAAATTCGTTTTTGTACCAGATCAGTATTGGAAACTGGTTGTTTTCCCCCGATGACCTCATAATAATTCCCTAATTACGGAACAGTTTGGTACAAACTAGCTGCACATGTATTTTATATTGACTGCCGAGCTCTATTGGCGACTGACTGAAGTGGAACATTCGTACTACCTGCAGTGCAATAATGGGGGCAAGATGGCTTAGTAGTTAGAGTATAAAGTTACTGACCAGAAGGTCCGTGGTTCGAACCCGACCTCTGCATCTCAACTTCTGTCTAGGCTTAGACGACGTGGCGGTATCTATGCCCTCGTGTTTCTTTCGGGTGACAGGGCAGCTAGACACCGAAAGTATATTGAAGCTTAACAGTTATCGTTTCATATTAATGCAATATTCAGTGTTTATAAATTAGTTTCATTTGGTAACCTGCGACGACTACTATGGTAAGGAAAGAAGCGCACAACGGTACAAATATTCTGCTCTGCGCAGGTTGCGGAGGGTTGAGGAATGATGCTCCTGCATTCATCTGTGCGCTATAAAATCGGTTCGTATAGTTGATTAAGGGAGAGACACCGCGTTGTCGTTTATACCAGATTCTTTGATTTTGCTTGAGTTACTGGCTATCAACTTGTATGTTAGGTTAGACCTGAGTGTGATGCATGCTCTCATATAACTCCAAATAATGTTGAGCGAAAATTTTGGAATGCTTTTTGTTGGATACCAAGTTATCAGTTTTCCTTATTAGCTGCTTTTAGTGATCTAAAAGTTTTCCTTTCCGAAACTTCGAAAATAATCTCTGAATGCTATCATATAAATAAGATATTGGCAGATATGACAGAAAACTAGTGACTCCCTGAGTGAGTGAGGTTGATATTCACCAGGTTGGAGAATACATCGTTCTTGACATTGTATCGTTGCTCAACATTATTTTCCGCACGAATTATGAACTTGCAGCGTGAAACTGCTTCAGAAAGTCAGACATTGCTGTTGTTCAAACACCGGAGACAAGAAAACGGTTCGCCGTAGAAGAACGAATTTGAACGAATAGTGGACAAAACTTTGGATCATTTGAAACTTCAACAAGAGCACGTATTGGCTGAAAATGCCCTCTGTTGCCTTGCTTAACAAGACTTCTTCACATGATGAAGTTTTCGTTTCATGATAGGCGTAGACTTTGAGTATTTAATTAATTTACCTGTCAGCTGTTTCTGAGGGATGTTTGCCAGCTAGCTAAGTTTTGAACTAATGATTGTAATTTGATCTATACGAAGTAGTTGGTTCAGAGGTTTCTGCATATAAGTTACAGCATTTGGGTCAACCATACACTGATACAACTGATGCACAAAATATTATTTCACAGTAGAAATTTTAGACTTTTTCGTTTCTTAGATGTTGGGAGCACAATTATGCATTGTGAAGTTGCATGTATTTTGAAAGTGGTGGCTACCGCATAGCCTTGTGCGCTGTACCTCAAGGGAGCGTAGTAGCAAACTGAAATTAATCCATTATTTTACAATCCCCAATTTGCTTTCGACGGGTTTGACGACTAAATTGAAAGCATGAGTTTCGATTTATTTGAAACAGAATGAGTCTACAAACTGAAGCCAGTTCAACATCCCGGAAGCTCAACAATATCGAAAAAACCCACAAAACAAAAACATGGTGAAAACTCACAAAGATAATAGCATGAAAAAACAGCTTAACAGTCAGATCGTGGAAAGGCACTTCAGGCCCAACGATCCACTGGCACCAAAATGCAAAGAATGAAGTTGCCGTCTTGCTGTTCTGGAAGGCATAAAATTATCAACTGTGGCTATTCCTTTTACTCATTTTCAGAACTATTGTCTTTTGAGACAGAAGTGCTGAGAGAAGTCATCGCTGTCAAAGGAAGGCGGAATTGCACCATCGCTGAAAGCTTCATTAGAATGTCTCACACAATGCAAGAAAAGGATAGACCACCACGACGTGTAACTTACTAACAATAAGCAAGTGCCAAAAAACTGGGTCTATCCCAGTTACAGTTGCAATCCGCACTTTGCAACAGCTCTCAAAAGTTCCAAAGCTTCAGAAACTGGACAATCTGTTGCCCTCAGTATGACCTTATTTTGATCCAGACAACTTTCAGGTGCGATTTACGCAAGTTCAACTAACTCTGTGCAGACCAGATTAGCACCTTGTGACGATCAAACTGATGGGTTTTCACACAGTACACTAACAATTCTGCAGACCACAGCTGCCGAGTAGACCTATTTAGGCAAACGCCTAAACTCGCTAACACTGGCATGCACTAGTAAGCCAGGATGAACTGTGTTGTTCCGGGAGGTCCAAAAAAGAAGTAAATGGAATCCATCGTGCAGTTCTTCAACATAAACCAGGCAGCATACAGTCTCAAGCTTACATTCCGCATCCTGCGTTTATCTTCGCAGAGGTTTCTTACTGAATTTTCCACTCTTTGCAATCTCTACTCATTTGTGTCGTTTACCGCCACTATCCGAGGCTAAAAGACAGTGTACGTGCTCCGACTGCTGCGGGAACTATGTCACATCTGAAGCTTCCTCAAATAAACAGTCTTTCTTTATTTCCACTGAGGTTTAAACAAGCTTACAGCTTACAGAAAAACAGGTTAAGCTTGAAAATTCTTTAGTGGTTCTTCCAACCGATTTCTCCTGCCTCATTCTGTGCTACAAGCCGCGGGACCTGAATTCAGTTGTGGATTATTTTTCACTATCCTATTAATCCAATATGTTTCACAGATTCACTTCGAGCATTTTATTGTCTAACTTGTGCAGAGCCATTTGCGTAAAAATATGTGCCTTAGGGTTATTAGTTTGCTTTTAAGAAGTTTGTTTGGCTTGCACCCAAAAAAACTTTAAAGAACATTATCCTGTCTTCTTTTTTCGATCGCTTTTATGTAAAGTAATTTCACCATTTTTATGACCTCCAGTTATTTTGTTCTAATTGAACTAACCACAGCAGTTTGAAGCAACGTCTAATTTACACGCATACATCTGCCAGTTTGTCTCTTATATTCAGGCTCACGTCCGTTAAGCTTGATCATCAGTGCACCGCAGTACAGCAGCAACTATTAGAGAACTTCTACAAGCCCTAGAAATTGTGTTGTGCAGTGCATCCTGATGCTATTACCACAACCTCGTAAGCAATCTCTCGTTGGTTCGTCTCATACAAATTGGAACTGCACGGTAAACACCTCATTTGTGACTGTATAGTTATACATAGTTGCTGAATGGCGGTTCAGGTATCACTGGTTTCTCGATCACTCTCACAACGCGTGCATACAGAAACATTTTAAGTCACCGGTGATTGCGCAGCAAAACCATTACGTCCTGGCAAATACAGATCGCAACCGACACAAACACCTAAGAACAATTTCGGTGCACACAAGCCAGCGTAAAGTGACAGTTTTATTCAGTCAGCTGCTCATAGGCCAAAAAATGAAAAATCGAAAGGTCGTGGTAATGTCCTTATAGGTAAGTGTGCGACAACTGTCTATGAGCTGAGGATTCGATTTGTGGCTCTGGCTCTTGCTTGCCTGATAGTCAGGAATGAACACAAGAGCTTCGCATATTTTTTTCTGACGACCATGAGCAGGATTATGTAGTGTGTTGACCTTGTGCGGACTATGTGTGTTTCACAAGCGGAATAATAGTAGTGAACATTTCATTACATCGGACAACAACATAAAAGTTTGTATGAAATATCTTGACTTTTTCAAGTTACCTGCTAGTAAGATCACATAACCTAGTGATCGCCAATACATCCGGTATCACCTATTTTGAAAATTCGGCGGCGTACCCACTGCATTAGACGATCGGTTTAGTTCACACTGTGGCCTAGGATATGGAAAGCAGAAGTGGATACATTCAAACGCTTGGGTTTATATATACACTGACATATGTGTATTGTTATATTTGAGCATTTCAAGTGAAATGCATATGTACCGTTTACATACACGAATAACACTAGTCAACCACCCGGTCATACGAGTACCATGAGTCGCACGAACACTCCCAGTCTAATTGACGTTGAGTGAAAGGACGTAGAGCAATGCTTCTGAATTTCCTGAGATAAGAGCACCGTCAGTTGTACAAGAGCGTTTCTTATTTGATCAATGTCTGCCAAGTAAGGACAAAAGCGTATGACAAAAAAACAAGCACTGCAAACCCCTCCCCTCTTCCGAATCTTCCTTAACTCCGGCCAACAAAATCATATTTGAGTCAGACGAGTGGATTCACAAGCTTGCTGATAACCAAAGTTAGGTGTTATTAAAAGATGAAATTAGAGACAGAACAACGGTTGTTCACGGAGAGTCTCACTACACCGGCATTTTTCAGTAGGTATCCATGTTTATCTGTGAAATTTCATGAATTCCTGAAGTTTCACAAATTCATGACGACTCCCATCGGTGGACCACTGGATACAAATTGAAACTGCCTTCAATTAGACTGAGGTTTTGATGTGAACAATTTTACAGAGAGTTTTTTCATTCCAATTTCGTGCTTAAGCAATGTTAGAGACAGCCTTTTTAGTCAACTCAAATTCAAAGTCATTCATCACCATCAGTTCATGCGTAAGATGCGCTACATTAATATCGCATAAGTCCGAAACTTTGCAAAGGTTAACGGCCCATGGTGTACATGAAATCCATGAAAACCTGTGCGTAATGTCTGACATATATTTAACCTAGTGGATACTTAGGCCATCTTTCTGTCCATTCTGACCGTACGATGTAACAAAATCTATAAATGGGTTCACAGAAGTCTGGTTCTTCGATATTTATTGCAAACCTCTTCATGTGCCAACTATGGTATTTAAGGAAAAATTGACTTATTTAGCAGTACTGGCGCGAATGTGCATCCCTGTGAAAAAGATCTACTCTCAGACATGCACAAATACGGTAGTTTGTGGTGATCCCCTCTAAACATTCTCGTATGAGGACAGTCCCGGAAGAAGGTATGCCATCAAATTAGCGCGATTCGATTAAATAATAATGAAAAATTGTCATAAAATGCGGCCTACGGTGGTCCATCACTATGATAACTGTCTGTCATCACTCACTTTTGACTGATTATGGTAACTGCTAGTCCCGTGTGTGTACGCCGTTGACTTTGGAGCTTCAACTATCCAAAACAGCCTAATCCGATGACTTGCGACGGTCGTGACCACAAGCATAGTCACCCTGACGTACCGAACCTCACATATTATGGGACCCCGTCAGTGAAGGACGCTTACCCACTAATATGAAGAACTATACCAAGAATGATGGGTAGTCACTCCATTTTCGTTAACGTTGACCCCTTCTTTAAGAAGAAAGATACAACCAAATTAATCTCATGCACCCTGTGTACACAAGCGCTGAAACACCTTACAGTTATCGGAGCAAACTCGCTCACCGCGGAAGTTCAAGTGTCCCACCGATAAGTCACAAGCTCTTTCGGGCGCAAATGACTCCGCAGCGGGAGCGAAGTGTATGGGAGCCAGTTGTACGAGTTTTTCCAGTTTATGGGGTTTCAGGCGTGATCCATAGTATTTGAGAGCTTTAGGCATCTTCAAGTATATGCCCGTGAATGTCGCCATGGCGATGGATCAGTAGGAAAGCGGGTATTTCCTTGCCGATCTCATCCAGTAAAGCAGGAGGCCTTACATGAATGGATTCTCATATCATCTCAATATTGCGCAACCAAGTTTAGGGCACATCAGTGCCTTTGATGAGTCTGCTTTTCAGCAACTAAGCTCAGCAAACAACTTGCTGAATACATAAACCGATTGCTGGAGCTGGTTCGGCTGATATCCGTTACTCTGCCTGGTATGATTGCACCTCTCTGAATCTCCTTCCAGCGTCCACGGCCTTCAGGGCTATGTCAGTACGCAGTCCGAAATAACGCATCACGGTAACGGCACAGTCAGGTTACCGGTCTTAGTTGATCGCCCGATGGAAGAAGGTGTAGGTTTATAGGACATGCTGGTTACTAAAAGTGACTTCAGTTCTGCGTGCGCATTCATTTGGTGGCCGCCCCTGCAATTCTTCACGCATTACGAATAAGCACAGCGACAGCCGTGATTTGACATTGTGGCCCATTAATGCCGGTGGCCAGGTGTGTCGACTTTCAGGCCACAGTGGCCGCATGGGATATCGGCTGTTGATGCAGATCACCAACTATCCTGATAGCGACCGTTTTTTCAACACTGGCTGAATATCAAGACCATTGTTTGAATGCAAGCACTAGGTGCGTTGTGCTTTTATTACTAACCTCTTTATACAGCTTGTGGCCGTATGTCTTTGACAAATTTGGTGCGTCTATCCAGAGTTCAACCTGTTTTTACAACCCTTCTGTGGGTGACGACATGGGAGAAGGACCCGATCAAGTCACGCAAGAAGATTTGGCTTTCTGTAAGTGGACAAATGGTCTTTGAATACCAAAACGAGTGTATGTATGATAATCACATAGGGACGTATAGATAACTTCCGAGCTGCTAACTGGCTGAGAACAGTGTCGACTGCACCAAAAATTAACCTATTAGCAACGTGCTCATCACCTCCCGGCGGTCAAATTGGTGGTATTTTGGTTTTGGTGTGCCTACAGTAGAATGCTTAGTAACGTGTTTGGTGGCATATGTTGAAATGCGGCAAACCACTTGAATAATGTTGCTCCCCCTTCGAGTTGCTGGCCTGTCAGTTTGGCATACTATCTGAGTCTCACACTCACAGGTGAGCAACTCGCTGTTTTGGCAAAATTTCTGACTATCAGCGTGGTTAAACGTTTTCAGCGCCTGCTGGCGTTCTCAAGATGGTTATTGGTTACGATTTCAAAGTGAGACAGGCCGCGCTGTATAACACTGTCCCACCGTGAGTTATATGGAGCAAGTCGGCACCTCGGTGTGGGATGAATCCATGGGCGGTTCTCCTCAGGATTTTCAAGACAACGAAATCCACGCGGTCACTGTCCAGCAACAACTTGCTTACTCGGCCGCTTTATCAAAGTAGGCCAAGCGGTGGAATGAGTTGCACACAGTCGGATTGGATTATACGTACTTACTACCGGTTGGGTGCTCATGCAATTGCTGCAGCATTATTTTAAAGGTTGTCACTGCCTTGCCGGCCGCATCTGTGGTGTTGTTTTATAAACCATAAACGTCCTAGTATTTTATCCCCCACTTATTATGCAGTGCTCGAAAATAATGACTGAAGGCCACTGCCAGGTATCCCAGCCACATTCTCTTTGATTTCCGGGAACATCCACCACAGCGACTAAAAATATACCCAGCCAAGCTTAACAAGGTTAGTTGGTACATAACGCAGCTGTGGTATATATGTCTTGAGTGGTCATCGCCAGTCCAGATTTGGCCGCAAGGATTTTCCGTACCTCCGATGGTGGTGCTTCGTATTCCTGCAGAGCACTTTATTCTTTTACCTTATACCGGCTGTGTTTTACCTCTGTGGATTCCCTTGACCAACCTAAATATTACTGCTGCTGAAAAAATTGCAAATCCCACCCCAGTCACCTCGAATATGACTAACACAATGAGAAATACATTTATTGAGCGGTTCCCAACTCTCTGCTACCAGCAGGTGAGATGAATGTCCAAGGGCTTTTCATTCGCCATGCACCACTTGTTGACCTGAAGATGATAGCAGTGCTTCGGGGACCGGTGAATATTTCACTTTTCTTTCACTTATTTGTCTCTTGGTGCCGTTCAACTCATGTGACTCATGGTGACTTTATTGGAAGCATTAAACTGATGGAGCTGCTTGGCTACGATGGGGTTGTAACCTTGATGCAACTTTGAATTAATGTTCGGGAATTGCGCTCTCTTGACTACAAAATGCACTGGTTGGGACGCTACTCCATCGGGTTCAACCATGATAGGGAGGCTGCCGGCCAGTGGCCAGGCCTGATGCGTCAGATTGCCTTAGCGAGATAAAGCCCTTGTATTAAAGCAGTTGTTTTAATTAGGAAGTCGCGCTGGGCTCAAGGGCATGGAAACCGCACATAAAGAAAAAAATCATAGTGGACCCATGGGATAACCGACATGGTCTCCACGGTGGAGGACATATATTAGCTCTTGCACAAGATCGCACTATTCTGCGCGTTGATGCCCGACGAGGTCCATCCAAGGATCCTTGAAGAAACGTCGTATACACTGGCAAATCATTTATACCTAGTATTTTTCGGTCACTTGACGGAGGCCGCATTCCATATTGTATCATCCGTTATGTTGACAATGAGCGTTGATGCCGAGGTCCATCCAAGGATCCTTGAAGAAACGTCGTATACACTGGCAAATCATTTATACCTAGTATTTTTCGGTCACTTGACTGACGCCGCATTCCATATTGTATCATCCGTTATGTTGACAATGAAATCCCCCACGTTTATTATGCCCCCATTTGTAACCCCCGCCCCATTTTTGTGTTTAGTGTGTATATATGAACTGACGTTTGTTTGTCCTTACCACTTCACCCATTTGGCCTTGAGGTCATCCGGCCATTTGTATCTGACTTTGCACGTGTGACTGTCGCACGTTGGAGCCTGTTTGCTCCCTTGCTTTGCACTTTTGAAGTCCAAGCGGACTGTTTGTTTTGGACGCGTATCTACTGTCGAGGTTTGTACAAATTGTGAATTTCTCTTACCCTAATAGTACCGTATAGAAACCCAGCTCCGACTTTGTTTTGCCTACCCGGAGGTTCTGGTATTACGCGTAACTCGAAGATACCGTTCGACCGTTACAGTACTCGACATCTTACGTCGTCTTGTTTGAAGGAAAGATGTCAACCTTTGG